ACGTATTAAGTGATTGAAAACTGAAATGGAAAGCGTATTAATCTGCCTCACGCGTTAGTGAAGTTTTACACAAAAAACAGTTCTTATCGAAATTTCATTATTATGATACCAGCTGAATAGGAATGAAATAGCACAGAAAAATAGAGCTTCATTTTCTCTATCGTCTCATAAAAACAGAAAATTTCATCAAGCCTTCTATACAAAATTGAGATGCGACCGCCACTACTTTTGGGTACCCCTAAGTATCTTCCATTTTCGGAGCAACCAAATTGTCTCGGGATAAAAACTAAGAGAGTACGGTTCAAGTCAGGGTCCACAAATTTTCTCTCCGATGGACTTTATTCATTAAACTTTTATTTTTTTTTTCTTTAGACACATTACCACGATCAGTTGTAATGATAGCATTTGATTCTCAACCATATGTAGTCATTTCATTAGCTGATGGTCCTATTGTTTATTATTTACTTGATACTATACAAGGACTTTTATATGAACGAAAAAAAGTTGCATTAGGTACAAAACCAACAACATTAACAATTTGTCAACGTACTGATTTATCACCACATACAACAACATCGTCATCATCATCATCATCAAATGATCCATCAGCACAACGTACAGTTCTATTTGCATGTAGTGATCGTCCATCAGTAATATCATCATCAAATACAAAACTTGTTTTTTCTGCTGTTAATTTACGTGAAATTGTTTGTATGTGTTCATTTCATTCAGAATTTTATGGAGCAAGTTTAACATTAGTTACTGATATGGGTGTTATACTTGGTCGAATTGATGATATACAAAAGTTACATGTACGTTCATTAGCATTAGGTGAACCAGCAAGACGTATTGCATTTATGGAAGATGAAAAAGCCTATATTATTTTAACACAATATATAGATATGTATCAAACAGATAATATAACACCTATTAGTAAACAAGCACATCAAAAAATTGATTGTCCAACAAAAATAAAAAGTCTTAATGAAATTTTACCTCCAACACAAAATGATGTTATTGATTCAATTGTTATTTTAGATCAACATACACATGAAGGTATATATTATATATCTGAGAAATATTAATTTAAAATTAGAATATTATATTGTTTGATAGTTAGAAGATTTAACTTTACTTTCTTGTTTTAATTAATGAGAATCAGAATGATGAATATGAGAAAATTACGCATAAAAAATAAGTTCAATGAGTAAACTATCTTATGTAATAAAACACAAAAATACAATTGAATTGTTTTAAGTTAGAATTAGACATGAGGTTTTTTGAGATTGAGATCATCTTATACACATGTATTTAGAACACATAAATCGTGACAATATGACATTCGATGCAAGTTTTACATGGTCATAGAAGGTATCGTTTCCAATGAAAAACGTATTGATCTCAATCCTATGTTGCCCATATCTAGTTAGAATATCTGAATGAAATGTGGAAGATTTAGTGAATGTTTTCGTCACGTTGATTTTTTCAATTTTTTGTTTTATGGTTATTAGCTAGTATTTATTTTGTAATATAGGATTGAATTCCAGTGTGAATCTTCTTTTCACCTTGACCATCACACCTACAACAATATGCATCCCGTCTTATTCAATAGACATAATACTTACCATGACTTTTTTTTCGTGCTTATTGTTTACAAATTCTCAATTAGTATAAGAAGAGTTAAATATAATTTCATGTGATTTCTTTTGGAAGCCACTTACTCTATTTACATGAATATAATATTCGAATAAGAAATCTTCGAACTCAAAATAAAAACTGTTGTATTTTTCAAAACACATCTACTTATGGCATACGAAAAGTAAAATGGTAATTACTAATAAGTATAACTTGGACAGTTTCAATTCGTATGAGTAATATTTTAAACATAAAACTAATGAGAGAACTACTCTAAGTGATATCTGCTGTTTGAGTACATTGTGGACTCACAGGAATGCCTTGGTAAGACTAGCAATAATCTTACATGGTTCGTTTGCATGGAGCTCAGTTATGATCGTTTCACTGAATTTTCGAGTGAGCTTCAAGTATTTACTGAAAAACCAAAAATCAGAACTTCGACGTGAAATTTGGTCTATATATAAGTCTAATGACTATTGGAGTGAGTATCCCTGAATGAGACTTGATATCTTACAAGTCATTCGACTTCTATATGGGTCGAATTTCACATTAAAATCTTGTTTTTCGATTTTTCATTAAATACCTAAAGCTAGATTGAAAATAGGTCTACAGTAAATAAAGTTAATGATGTTTGAAAATATCCAAACCCGAAAGGTGCTTCCATAACCGTCTATATACTTCAAGAACTATTGAAACAACAATCTGAATAATTAGATGTGGTCTGAACTCATTGAAAATCTAATTAAAACGGCATCAACAGTTTACAATAAAACAGACATACTCATAATAGCAAAATGAATAAATTGAAATTTTAGTTTTATTT